TTCCTCTGTTTCTCATTCAGAATAGAAAAAAAATAATGTTTTATTCTCATCTTCTGCTACCTGCAGATGGGATGTTTCTAAACCAAACTTGTGATGCACAAGACATTTGGGTCCAAAACATTAAATTATTCATGATGTAAGAAAGAAATGTGCATATTTAGAAAAAAAACATTTTTAAATTTTCTCTCTCTCAATGTTTGTGTGCAGAAACCTGGAATCAGAATCTAGTTTTAAAATAGCAGGATTTTTTTCTTTTCAAAGCTGTTGATTTTTTTCTCCCCATTTTAAATCAAAGTGCAGCCTGTATGTAAAAAGAAAAAAAAAAGGAAAAGAAAAACTCATGCACAGAGAAATCCCCTGAGTACGACGCATGAATGTTGTGAGAGGAATGGTGAACAGAGAGCAGAGCAGCGAACAACAGACGCAGCAAGCTGGGATAAAAAGTGAAAAGAAAATGCTAAAGTGAGAGGATAGGAAAGGAGAAAAAAGATAGTAAGGAGGAGAGGAGGGACAGCATGTGGTCGAAGCATTCAGGATGAGGTAATACTGCTGATGAAATTCAGACAACGATGAAGACAGACTTCCAGCCAATGAGCAGGAGCCAAGGGGAAAAATTATGAAATGTATAATAAAAGCAGCAAATGCACATTTCTATCCTCTACTTTTGTAAGCTTTTATAGATGGGATGTTTGTTAAAAGTGATTTATTAAATACATTTTGTTTAGTCAACAAAACAAAACAAATGTTCAAGAGCATCTGCAGTATAATAAGTAAGAATAATCCCACTGAAGTAGCACAGGTATTCAACAAAAAGGTAACCAGATGTAACCTGAGGAAGAAATGATCTTTATTGTTCTGACATGTCCTACCTCAACATCCTCCACAGCAGAGTATTTGACTCCTATTTGTCCATCTCAAGACAAACAAAGTGTGACACCAAGAAGTTCAGCTGTGGGTCAGTGAGGGAAACATCTTCCTTAGGGAGGATACAAAGTCTGAACTGCTTGGAGGGTAAAGGCTCCTTGTTTTCTTCCATCAGGTTTGGAGACTGTGGTTCATTCCCTCACACTGTAGAGAACACACACTAAACCCTTCACTTTATCCTGATTATTCCTCTGTACAGTAGATTCGTTTACACTCCACTTTGTTTTCAGAAATTCTATGTTTTTTTTCAAATAGGAGCAAGGGTGTTTGCACATCAGATAGTCTGGCAGAGTCAGTTTGATTGGGGACTATAATTGCAACAATTGTTACATTTTCACCAGGTGTGGTTCGCTTTCACACTGTACTGTCAAATGAGAGCAAATCCCTTCTTCACAAAATGTAAGCAAATATGGAGTAGCATGAGGTTATTACAGTTGTAGGATTTCTCTTTTGTCTTTGGTGAAAGACCATGAGATCTTCCGCTAGCACTATTTTGGTTGTATTTACCCAGAATGCCCTGCACAACAGTTTGCTTCATGCTTTTAAAGTGGCCTCTGGTCCGCTTGGCATTCACATTTACATTCCAACCACACCAGAGTTCACTTCAACTGAACAGAGACCGAGACCAGTAAAAGGACCAGAGTTCTCTTCCTTCAGACTGCCCAGGGCAGCTGTGGCTACCCAGCAGCTTGCTGGTCCTCTGGACCTGACAAAGCGCTTTACAAGTATACAGACTATTTATCATTTCTGTCTACAACACTTTAATTGCACATTCACACCTTCCCAAGCAAACCAGATTTTTCAGGCAAATGAAGTACAGCTCAGTTAGAGCTGGTATGTAACTTTCTATACTTATGCCAATTTATCTGCTGATTGGTTCTTAACTTTTACTTAAAAGTGACTGTTTAAGGAGAAAACTTTACAAAGAAATCAGCATCAGTAGGTCCAGAATGAAAATCTCCTTGTGGATATTTTCAGGCTGCTCAGCCTGTAAAGATGTTTTTCTGTCTGGGTTTAATTTCAGCTTTGCACCTGGCAGCCAGTTTCTGCAAACTTTCAGTCTGTTCTGATGGTGATCTTTCTCTCAGGCATGAGGGAAAAAAAGTTTACAGAGTCCGTCTGGCACATGATGTGTTTAGAAGAATGCTGAATGCGTAATTCAAATAGAGGCCCATATTTGGATTGTTAGTTATAAAATCATTTTAAAGCAGCAATTATTTGTAGAGTTAGATGAAGAAGAGCAACTTAAGACGTTTTTGTGGCACAGAAACACTGACTGTTGAGTAAAAGTGACCTAAATACATTCAGCCCTCATCAAGTCTGTTTATTTGTTTCAGCGTGAATTTGAATTTGCAGATTTGGTTGCTGTCTGTAACAATATCTGGGATTACATTAACCAAATATTTTCCACTTTCAAAAGTCCAGACTTCTACCAGACTAATCCATACACTCAAAGAAAATTCTGAAACAATTTTGCAGATTATACAGTCTGAGTCTGAAGCCAACCCAGCATGCTAAGAACAAACAGCTATAGAAAGTGCCATAACTTTCCATAGCTGAGCATAAAAACAAACTGAAGTTATTACTTTTGGGGTCAGCACACACCTTCAATAATTACAACTAGCGATCAGGCCCAAAATCTGGATGTAATGGAGGACTCAACATAAACTTAAAGAGATAGATACAATGCCGGTCCTCTATTACCTGAAGGCCATTTCTAGGTTTAAAGGGCTAATGTCTCAGCAAGATCTGCAGAAAAGTATTCATGTGTTTATCTTTAGTCTCATTGATTACTGCAACAGTGTCCTCACAGGTAGGCCTAAAAAGTAAATTCTCCAGCTGCAAACGATCCAGAAGGTTGCTGCTCACAGTCTCACTAAAATCAGAATGACAGAGCACATCAAACCGCTATCTCAGAGAATAGACTGTTTATAAATCACTGAATGGTTTAACACCACAATGCATTGAAGATCTGCTGTTGTTGTATCAATGTTTCAGAACCTCTCAGGTCTTCTGGTTCTGGTCTACTCTTCATCCATAGAACCAGAACCAAACATGGAGAAGCAGCATTCAGCTTCTATGTATCACAAATCTGGAACAAAGTTTCTGAAAACTGTAAAACTGATGAAAGACTTCAAATTTAAACTTACATGTTTAGAGTTACCTTTGATTACTAATTGATCAACATATTTAATGTGGATTTGTTTGATGATGACATTCGACAAAATGTAATGTTTTTTGCCATTTCATTATTGGCTACTCTATTATATTTTTATGACATAAAGCACTTTGAACTGCCTTGTTGCTGATTGTGCAATAAAAATAAACGTGACTTTTTTGTCCATGTTAACCATCGGCCCAGATGGGGAGCACCAGAGGTGACATATGGTCTTCCTTACATTTTCCAAGTCAGTTAGGCAAGTTAATCTTTAAATTCATTAACAGATTTGTGCATTTTTCTGAAAAAAAAAACAAACAATAAAATCAGCCTCAGAAAGGCTCCCTGCAGTTTCATCGCCTTAAAAAAAAAAGAAAAAGTGTTTTCCTCAGAGCGCCATTAAAGCCCACTGTCCAGGAGTAACCTAGAGCTCATCAGGTGACCTGAGCTTCCAGATGAGAGCAGCATCTCCAGTGTTCATGATGTGAAAAACATGCTGGGACTCCATGAAGTGAAAGCTGGCAGACTACCATTCTTCAGGTTACCCTCAGAAACCACATTAGGAGAAAGCATTGTGATTAAGTGGATTTTCTAAAAGAACAATAATACAGTCAGAGAAGTAACTTAGCTGTTCAAACAAATATGCATTATGCATTCAGCATAAAAAAATATATTCTACTCCTCAAATGACAGCTTAAGCTTCACTTACTACTAACCATGCATGGAGGGTTCCATCCCAAATCCAGCACCCTGAGACTGTACACAAGCCGCAAGGAAGGAGGCAGAGGACTAGTGAGTGTGAGAACCACTGTCCAGGACGAAACAACTAAGATCCATAAATACATCAGGGACAAAGCCTCAACAGACAATGTGCTCAGTGAATGTCTCAGACAACAGGGAACGGAGGTTGAGGTGCCAGAGATACCATCATGGGAGGACAAGCCCCTACATGGGATGTACCACCAGCAAATAACCCAAGTGGCTGATATCAGTAAATCCTACCAATGGCTGAAAAAAGCTGGACTCATGGACAGCACAGAGGCCCTCATCCTGGCCGCCCAGGAACAGGCCCTAAACACCAGAGCAATAGAGGCCCAGATCTACCACACCAGACAAGACCCAAGGTGTAGGTTGTGCAAGGAGGCCCCTGAGACAGTCCAGCACATAACAGCAGGGTGCAAGATACTGGCAGGGAAAGCGTACATGGAACGACATAACCAAGTGGCAGGCATAGTGTACAGAAACATCTGTGCAGAATATGGACTGGAAACCCCGAGATCAAAGTGGGAAACACCCCCAAAGGTGGTGGAGAACGCCAGAGCTAAGATCCTGTGGGACTTCCAGATCCAGACAGACAAAATGGTAAGGGCGAACCAACCAGACATTGTCGTAGTGGATAAACAACAGAGGAAAGCCGTTGTGGTAGATGTAGCAATACCAAGTGATTGCAACATCAGGAAAAAGGAGCATTAGAAACTGGTTTAAGTAACAACTAAGTGTTACTTAGATAACACTTAGTTGTTATTTAAGCTCTGTTAATTGAATTACATAAAAAAGCATCAATTGTTCAATGAAAGTTTGCAGAACATGCACATTTTTTATCTGACTAATACATTAATCATCCAATGCCGACACAGGAAGACACAGTTGCTTTAACATGACAGAAACTTGGTGAAAGTCGTTCAATTCTTTGTATAAACAGAGATTTCGTAACTCCAGCAACAACCCAACATACGTATTTTGGTTGAAAGGTCATAGAAAAAAAAAAATTCTGAACAACTATTTACATCAACAGTTTCTCAAAAGTTTCTGAAAACACATATGAGGCACAAAGACATTCTCAGTGGGTATCCTCTTCCTTCACTGAAAAAAAACCAAACAAAAACAACAACAACAACAACAAACTTTCCAGACTCACCACACAGGCGCCTCTCCCTCACAGTCCTCCAGAAACCTTCCCAAGCCTTGTTGGTGGAGTCCTTCACATGCTCGCTGAGGGATCTCCTCAGTCGGGTTTTGACAACCGAGGTCTGAGCCATATCCCATATGTTGAAGCATCACATGACAAATGCAGAGAAGAACTTCCAACAATTTCTAATCCATAAGGGAAGCGTCGGGCAGAGGGCTGTGCTGGACTTCAGCTTTGGACTTCAGATGAAGCAAACCGAAGGAGGAAGACGAGCAGGCAGAGGGGCTGACACTTGATGCTGAAAGCCTGCATGCAATTTGGGAATTCCCTCCCTCCCTTCCTCCTTACAGCTGCCGACTCAGGCGGTTGAGTGAGGGTGTTCGTCTGATTTTATGAGGAGCAGTTTGGTGTTTTTCTCCAAAAGTCTGAATAAAAATTAATCTCTATTCACTGTTTTAAGACGTGAACATCTCCACACAAATTAAAAGTACATCCAGTGCTACCTTTAGGAGAACTTAACTGAATCTTAGAGACATTTCAGATGTCAGTCTTTTACACTGATCTGTCACAATTATCAGACGGGAAGGTGGGTTATGAGAGAGGGGGAAGACATGTAGCAAAGGTCTTTGGACTGGGACTCGTACCCGCAACAGCTGCGTCAAGGTCTAAGGCCTCCATACGTATGCAGTGTGGGCATACCCTCCACAGTCATCATGCCCACACTGCAAATCTTGATGCCTGATTCCAACTTTTGGCTGAAATCATACTTTTATTGTTTGGTTGTTCTTTTTTTTTTCTCAGTTCAGTTGGTTGCTCATACTGAAACCGACCTCAATCAGACTTCTGTCCAAACAGTTTATGTCTCCAAAGTGACCCACAGAAGAGCAATGCTGATGTCACACAGCAGTATATGTTTTATGGAAGTAACAATGGATGGAGCCTTTTATGAATCAATTTTTAAGTTTATTCAGAAATGGAGCCAATAATGTCATCACAGGATCATAAAATGAAGGAAGAAAGAAAAAGCATAACTAATCGAAATAGTCCTTTGAGGAGCATCGACTGCAACTTCTGTAGAAAGGTTTCTCTGGATGTGTGGTCAGACCAGGAGTGGAGGGAATCTGATGTCATGTCCTTCAATAATACAAACTTCTCTCAGAATTTTCACCATTCAAATTTCTTTGATTACATCCTGATTTACTGCATCTGGCTTTTTCTGATGAAGAATTATGACCCATCTCTCATGTCAGTGACATAAAAGCCATATAAAATGCAACATAACCGTTGAGTCTGCAGTCAATGCAAAAGGTGCTCTTAGATTGTCTGGTAGCTTGAGGCCACAGTGAAACCAGGGTTAGATTATCTAAACTTTGTGGCATTATTCAGGAAGATGACAAGAGACAGTTAGCATCATTACTCAGGTAGACTGAGTCACTAGAAAACATCAGATTCAAATTAGAGAGAGTGTGTGAGAAGCTCTGATAAGCACATATTTGTTCTGTGTGTGTGTTTGCGGGGGGAGTTATAGGATTTGATCAGCCTCAAGAAAGGAAATGACATACTCTGGTTTAAGAGACTCCAGCAGAGCACACACACAAAACAAATGCACATGCGTAATATAAACAAGAGCTCAAACAAATGTACAGAGGCACAGCCACTCACATGACATGTTTCAGACCCCTCTTTGTGGAAACAAAACCTTGGCCTGAGCTAAATTAAAACTCTATAAGCCTTGCGATGAGAAACTGCTGGTTCCAGATGACTTTAAGAGACAGAAGAACTTCAGAGTTAACTTTACTGAAATGAACTGAAGACCCTGACCAGGATTAAGCTGGTCGATAGACCCCCTGCACCACCACTTCTTTCTTTTGATTCCTTATTCCTCAGATTCCCTCCATCATTTTAACATACTTATCATCATCATTTAGACTAAAGCCTCTAACACACTTCCTCTCCTGGGAAAAACTTTAAATAAACACTGCAGGTCATGACTGTCAGGAAACAGTCATGACCTGGGAACATAGAGAGATCGGGAAGGGATTTATGATTCAGGGTTGTCACATCAACACAACACACAAGTCATAAAATAAGAAATTTAAAACAAAATGACTGAAAACTAAAACAATAAATGTTCTCAGCTGACATTTTACTGTTGAGTGGAGCAGCAGCTCTACTGCTATGGGCAACATGGAGGCTTCATACATTCCTTTTGTTCATTTATTTGGTTATAAAACCAAAGATACATTGAGTGCTTATTTGTTCGGCAGGAGTTTGAAGGAGTTTGTGAGTCACACCACCAACAAAAGTGATTTACTTTATGTTTTATTGCTTTATCTTTAATGATAAACAAAGAACCCTCTCACATCCTGTGAGAAAACCATCAGATATTTAAATACATGATGTGTTTAATAGGAAAACAATAGTTTATTAACAAACGTAGTATTTACATAAGCTTTTGATTAAAAATTTATTTGATTTGGGTTTTCCAACTGACTGGATTTATTTTCTCCCATAACGCCGGCCCTGCTTCATTCCCTCCACTCTCCACTTCAGTTGTCTCTGCTCTCCCATAAGTCAGTTTAATGATCATGGAGCAGCTGTTATCTCCATCGACATGCAGCACGTCAGCAGCTAAAACGGTTTGAATTTTGCTCTCTTGGTCTCCTGGGAAACAATTTTCACCAGATTTGTTTCCAGTAGACTCCCTTGCTGTGCCTCCATTCTAGTTTCCACTCAGGACAGAAAGCGAGAAGATTTTCAGTCTGTCTTCATCTAGTCAGGTAAATCTTGGTGAAACGTTTACCTAAATTTGAGATAAGGTGCATTACTAATGAAAATAATTAAAACAATTTTTTTCCATGTTTGTGTTTCAATCAACTGTACCAAACCACCAGCTATAATAAAGAATTTAAATAAACAGAGCTTAACTATGCTGCGACATTATGAGACAGATAATATGAAAAACAACAACAACAAAAAACAAGCCTCTCTGCCTTCTCCCCATGAAACAACCAAGAATCTAAGAACATCCAATCAAAACAAACGATGCATCTGCAGCTTCAAAAAATTGTCTACTAATTTGTTCATTATTTTTTGATTAATAATTGAATAGTAAACATGTGCTTAATGGAATATATATATTCTTTTCCCATAATTTGAACCAGGTGACCACTATATGTTTTGTACAGCTTTGTTGTCACAGAGCGTTTTCTTTCAGCAAATGGTCATTTTCAGAGACATTAAACTCCAATTTAATAATCAGTTACTAAATTAGTTGGAGATTAAATGAGCAATTAATCACGACTAATTCAAAATTCGACTAATTATTTCAAGTTTGACTCCTATGTACTAAAAAGTAGCTGACATATGATCCATAAATTACAAACTAAAAAAAACAGATAGTTAAGTTACAGACTTACAGGTTTGACCTATTCAGAAATGTTGAAGTGAACAGCAGCAACAATTTTATATAAATTCAGTGTCGTCTTATTCAACTGTAATTCAACTGCCCACATTAATACAATACACACTCCTCCACCTATATAATTAGACATCAGCCACCTGATGAGTGTAAGTCACTCAGCAACCAGAACATGTCAGCATGAGGCAAAGACCGCCAAGCTCTTCAACACCTGCAGGTTTGCTCTTAAAGCAAAGCTCTTTCCCCTCATAGTACTTCTATTTCCACAGCCGTTAGCCTCAAGTGTTTGGAAACAAAACGAGAAACCTTCAGTGCCACATTTCTGAATGTCTTTACTCTGTCCCAACAACTTCTCAGACAGCCATTAAAATATTTGCAATAGGAAGCAGCCTCTGCCTCCCCATGCTCCTCTCTGCTGGGAGGGTGATCGGAGACTTCTTCCACCACATTTGTTTACCCTTCAAACAAGACCTAAATTACTTGCATTCCCAGCGCTGTTCCCAAATGCAGGTAATTAAATGGCAAAGTGTCACAGTGCTTCAGGAAGAATCTGAGTGAGGAGTGTAAGGCCTGTCAGCACGGCCTTACACATGTTGACCGGAACAGAAAAAGTGACTTAAAACACTAACTAGGTTCAATATCAGATTTTTGGTGGCTTTAGATGCAACTCCAAGAATGTCATTCTTAAAAAATGTCCTGTAAATGGTTAAACAAAGATCAATGGCAAACATGATCAATATGTAACAGCAACTGTAAAAAAAAAAATATTTCAAATGATGTAATTTGGACTGATGGAGGAAAAAATGTTTTTTTGCAAAGCACTACCTTTTTGACCTGGTTCCATTGGTGGTTCAAACTTTTTCCTTAGATAAACAAAAATCTAATTTGATCTTTTTTTTAAAGCTGCAGCATTTACATTTTTTTCCATATTTACTAAAACTGACCCTCCTCCTGCCTCTGATTGGTTCTTTCTGACTGAGCTCTGACTGAATGTATAATTCTGCAGATAGTACTGGAAATCACTGGAGAAGGCAAAGGAGGTCAATATCTTCACAGATTATCTATCTGTCATTATATTGTCAGAACAGAATGATAATGTTAACAAATATATAAAAAGACAAATTTTCTGATGAAAGTTATTGAAGGTTCAAGGTTTTTGTGGCACTATTATTTTTCAAAAAATGAAAAAAAAACTTATTGAATGGTAAGCTAGAAAAGGTTAAATGTGAATTTGATTTCAAAACAGTAAAGCTGATTTATTTACAATATTAAAATGATTCTAAGTTAATTGAATGTTTCCACAGTTGTAATCATTTAAGTTTATTTGTAGCACATTTCAGCAACACAACACTTATAAGTGCTTCACGTTAAAACATGGTACAGCCAACAATTATGAAACAAGCAATTAACATTGGATGAATGTAGGTATAATAATTTTAAGGCACAAGGCAAATATAAACATATACATATGAGGTTGACATAACCTATGGTCATTCTTCATTCTTATTTTGCTTTAATGCAATTAACTCTGCAGGTCATCAATAAAATTGTGTTACACAGAATCACAAGTCGAAGTGTAAATTGTGCCATAGAGGGTAAAGATAAAACACTGCATTATCTGCAGAAAGAAATACATACTGTAAACACATTTAATGCCATAATGCCACTGCAGTAGGAAATCCATTTATTAAGTATTTTTACTTTATAAGTCCTTTTTACTTTTAGCTGATAAAGACGTGAACTCCACCCAGACAAAATAAAGTAAGGAGTACAGAGTTACACAGTAATTGAATGTTGGTGTGTTAA